ATTCTAAATTCAATTGAAGTCATATGTTTCACAACATAAAAAAGATCAATGATCGATTTTGTCACATGTGATAAAACAAATGTCCACTATGCTAGTCGCATGACATTTGGAACATTTCACAGCAAAAACCACCTCTCAGAAAAATAGATTATTTTGAGTAAACACATGTTCAAAATTTATTACACAGAAAAAAAAAATTTCCCCCTAAAATTTTTTGATCATTGATTATCCCAAATTTAGTAAACAAGAAATTATAACATCCGAACTACATAATGCTAAAAATTATAATAGCCCAAATTTTATAAATAAAATTAATTTATCAATTTTATAAGTATAAATATTGTACATAAGAATTTGCATGTGATGGATTTTTTGGATCAATTAAAAAAGTATATAGAAATAGAGTTATAAATACTGTTGATCATATTGAAGAAGCTATAAATGATTCATCAAAAAATTGTAATATATAATCAATCTATTAGATATAAAAATGGTATGGGATGGAAATGGTATGACTTTAGCTTACTATTTAATGACAATTTCAGAAAATTACCAAATATAAAAAAATACCATCATTTTTGCTTTAGTAGTAAGGATATTGGAAAAGTTTATGTTTCTGAAAAATCTGGTGGCTTGGAAATTTCTTTTAAACTTCTAAAGAATGATAATTTTGATAAGGATGGCCAATTAAATATTATTGAGGTTGTTCCATTAACAGATGATAGAAAAAAATATTTGTTTACAAAAATTTGCCAACATGTAGAAGACCGACCCATTTAAAGATATTCTTTGTCCAGAACCTAATATTTATCGATTTTTATTTTAATGTATATTGATATTAATATGTATGTATTTTTTAAAAAAAATTTATTTTTGCGTGTAACAATAAAATGGGGTGTGCAGATCAATTTATTATTTTGTGCAAATTACTTTAAAGAAGATATCCGTTTGCAAATTCCCCGTTTTTTTATTAAGCAAATAGGGTCTAATATTTTCACCAATTATAATTTATATATTATAGATTAATATTATGTAAAAAGCTCAATTTTGGTCAGATGACCCCAGAGGTGGTTTTTGCTGTGAAACGTCCCATTTCATTTCTAAAATTTGGATGATCTGCATCATAGTAAAATTCGAATTCATTTGTTCCATAAAATCAAAATGTTACACAGAAAAGATTTATTTAATTTTGTTGAAATGCATACAATGCGTTTTTTAAAGATTGATCATGATTTAAATCCCCTTTTAAAATTAATTCTTCAGACCCCTCCAAATTAATGTTATCTTCATTATCTATAGTATTTTCATCCTCCTCTTCATCTTCTTCATCTAATATGGATGTATTGTCTAAACTTTCTAATCTATTATTATATAAATTTCCTAAATACTCAATGCCATTCAATAAATAATCAAGACAATGTTGGCATTTAAACTGTAGATTTTGAAGACACTGATAATGATATTCATGACCACAAATTAATATGCAATTATCATCATTGTAGTCATCTGCTATTTCACAATTTTCATAATCACAGCAGGAATCAAAACTGGGCAGATAATTGGCACAATAACCAGTTGGTAATGTAGCTACCTTCATTTCTATGTTGAATGTTGGAAATAAATAGAGTTTGTCATCTAATTTTGGTATTTTTTTAGATGTATTTAGATTAGTTAATGTTTTTTGAAAAAATTCAATTAGAAATAAAGCTGACTTCTTAACCATATTATCAAGACTCTTTTTTTTAAATGGGTAATTTTTTTAGTTATAAATGGATCCATAAAATTTGAATTATGTTTATTGCTATCCAAATTAATTGCATCTTTTCTTAAAGTTTCTATATTAAAATTTTTGCCAGCTGTATAGCATTGAATCAAGCTATGAAAATTTTCAACAAAATATTCATTGAATTCTGATAGGTGTTCTTTAAGTGCATTGTACATTGGGTGTTCTATACTTTGCCAATATAAAACATTAGAATGAAAAGCTAACATTATTTTGTTATAATTTTTTCTTTCAAAATGTTTCATAATAGACCACAACTGAAAAATTGTTGACATATATTCATCAAAATGACCTTCCTGAAACAAAATTGTATAAACATCCAAACAAGCTGGTATTATATTATCAAATAGATCTAAAAAGGTTCTGTACTCAATATCTTTGTTATTTTTAAATTTTCTTAAAATTGTTTTTCTAATGATCATCCATCCAGAGTGAGCAAGGTAAAGCAAAAAATCTGTCATCCATGGTTGAGGTTTCTTTGGAAGATTTTTTCTCTTTTTAAAAACTTCTTTATAAAAAATATTAAAAAATTGATAATACATTTTTATAGTGGTTTCTCTTGTATTCAGAGAGACATGCAAAGGACCTAATAAAGGAACCAAATGCAAAATCTTTTCTGGAATATTTGATGAATCACCATATCTCCTTTGCTTTACGAAGATAATATTGTCCAGGATAATCTGCTGGTACAGGTATTATATTTTCTGATAGATAATCACTGAGTACTGGTGAATTGATAAAAGGGTAGATTGCTTGAAGGTAATTATCCAAAGATTTTAATTCCTGAGGAATAAAATCAAATAATTTTAATAACTTTAATTTCTTGTGTTCTGGATGGGTGATTTGGAAATCAGGATCATAACTATGAGCTGTTAAAAAATTAATTGTTTCTTCTTCTGTAAATTTTGAAGAATCAGCTATACAGAACCATGATGACTTTTGGTAAATATAACTGATTCCCAACTTTGACATATATTCAAATTTCAATGCCCAGGAAACTAAATCAACATCAACATTCATGGAATTATGCACCTGCTTATCTAATGGTGATATATATGGCAAAGGTAATACATTTGATGGCAGTTGCTATATGAGCAACATTTGATAGATTTTCATCAATTGGATTTCGGGATTGATGGATGTCATGATAATCATCAATAAGGAATAATTAATGAATTAATTTTTGTATTAAGGTATTTAAAAACCCCATCTTCATGATTTAAAAGAATTTCTTTTTTTTTTTTTTTGAAACTGTTTTATAGGTGGATGCAATACCCAAGTTGCTAAAGTATTAATACCTGATGTAGATGTACCAGTATTTGACATATATAGAGCTATTTGATTTTTGACTGAACTGACATGCTTGTTTCTAAGGCTAGCTATTTGGTAACAGAGAACCATTACTTTTCTTTTTAGGCTTATTTCTGTAGAGGAATTTTTTGAAGAAGGGTTCATGCTTTGATACAGCATATCAAAAAAGCCTTTTAATGAAGGATCTCTTTCTTCAATCATTTTTACAAATTCATCAGGATCATTGATGATTACATTTTTTTCACAATGTTGATACTTGTATAAAACAGAAGAAAGTCTTTTTATTTGGTTGTTAAAAAAATCAGAAAATTGAACAATTAATTTATTTAATTAAATAAATAATATTAAAATATTTAAAAAACAAAATAGGCATAATAAAATTAATTTTAAAAAACAAAATAATAATAATAAAATTAATTATTTAATTAATATCAAATTAATATACCTTTAATATGTTGATTTGATGGACTAGTAATCTTTTCTAATTCTGCTTTTAATTCTATAATTTGATTTTGTAAACTAGTATTTGCTTCTACTTCCATTTCAATTGGTTTTCTTATTTTATATGGTGCATCTTCAGATTTTTTTTATATCTATTATGCCTATCATATGCTATATGAGAATTATAGCATTTAGAACATATTCTTTCGCCTATATTTAATTCATAAACTACTAGTTCAGCTTTTTCTTTTCCTTGTTCTGAAATATTTCACCATTTAGAGTCATCTTTTTCTATTTTGCAAACAGAACAAAAACCAACAGGCATTTTAGTAATGACTTGTAAATCAAGAAATAAAAATTGTTACTTCGAATGGATCCAGGTGGATCCAGGAATATTGAAGTGAAAAGAGTATACTTGTAAAATTTGAAAGGTTGTTATTTAGTGTACTTGCGCCCACCTCATAAGTGTAAGTGTAACCCATCGTTTATTCTAAAACAATTGAAAAATGATCAACATAATATAAATAATATAAAAGGAATGTCCACCACCATAGCATAGTGGAAATTTGAAATGTCACACTAATTTTTTATATTGTGCAATGTAGCTTTATAATACACGGCAAACATTCTGGCAATAAAAAGTAAGTGATAAACTGGATTTGAATTGGATCTGAACTTGATCTCCAATTTAGAGAGGTAACAACTATATACTGGTAAAGTTTCAGGAGCAATGAGTTCTGTATGAGATTTCGTGTAACAACAAACTTCCACTATGCTCACCACCATGCTAATTTGCATAGTAAAATTTTATAATAGAATGTTTTCATACCCTCGTTTGATACCGTTGCTGTATAGCAACCACCACCAAATTTGAAACTTATAAAGCAGGTTATTAATAAAACCGAAAATAATCTGACCCTCAAAGCCAAATTTTGCCTTTATATTCACATATGTAAAAATTTGTTTGATGCGTAACAGTAACAATAATTTAATCATAGATCCATTTTTTGAGGCAAATATTAATACACACCATGAGAATTATTATTGATGTTAGTATTATGTTATACTTCTTTGATGGTCACGTAACAATAGATCTGTTTTTTGAAGACAAACGTTAATATGATGTTGCACACAATAAGAATTATTATTAATATTATTATCTATAACCCATTAGTAATACCAACTAGAATATTTTCTAATGGTTATGTAGCAATAATCCATCATTTAACCATAGAAGAAAACAAACATTAATACAATGTTTTACCATTAGTAATATATATTAATGAAGGTATTTTGATATTTTTTTCTTTGCATAACAATGATTAGTCGTTTGACCCATTGTTTGAAGGAAACAAATATTAACACTATGTTAGTAATCTGTATTAATAAAATTCTTTTTAATGAATGACACATTAAATGACAACAATACTCCAAAGACTTTAAAATAATCTAGTGGTTGAGTAATGATAGCTGTTGTTTTCAAGATGTGTTATTGACTTATTATACTTGAACTTGTATATTTTAAAAGACACCTCCTTTTCAAAGATTATTTTCTTAAAAAGAAAATGCATTTTGAAAAAAAAATTTTCTAATGCTAAGAGTAAACAAAAAGTATTTAAGCATAATTTGGTTTCTATTATTGTAAAAAATAAATAGTCATCATTTTTCATTTTATCTATTGATTCAATTATATTGGACTCCTTGTAAATTCTATTCAATAAATCTTAAAATTTTTGAAAGAATCCCTGAGAACTAAGGATTTTTGAGCTCAAAGCATTACTGATGGTTGATATAATTTTTTTAAAGCTTCAAAAAAAAAAAATACCATCAGCTATAAAAAACATTTTTTCTTGTATTTTCACAGGCTTTCATATAAACATATACACAACTTTAAACATTATAAACTTCTTGATTTTAACCTTGTAGAAATTTGGATTTCTTTGTTAATGTTAACAAAAATAATGAATTTAAAATAAAAAATTTTATTTTTTTCGAATTGCAATGTTGTTGGAGAAAGAAATAAGAAATATCTTAAAAACATAATTTATCTTCACATGATATGGAAATGTTTAACAATTTAGGGCGGTCTATATCCAATGTAGTTGAATACAAATTCTTCACTATCAAATATAAATAGTTTCTTCCGCCATCCCAACCACTTTTTCTTTTTGCATTGAATGGGTAATTAATCAATACGAAGCAGAATGCACTTCAAAAATGCCATGATTATGAACATATATAGTTTTGTTTCCTCCAAAAATGTATGACGATAATAACAATAATTATTGTGGTAGTAGTAACAATTTTGGTCCTTACGACGAATACATTAACTTTAACTATAAATTTATTATTTGATAATCATCATCTTAGTACAGTGCGGATCATCTATACTCGAAAATTAAAAATTTTGAAATATTATGTGATCCACATATTGGATTTTAAAAAACTTACCACCATTCAATTCAACTTTAAAAGGGGAGTCTATTAATCTAAAAAAAATTTTGTCTCAAATTTTCTTTTCTTAGATTTTTTAAATTTGAAAGTTATGCTCAATAATTTTCGTGTTACAATATTTTGAATCTCACGACCAAATTTGGTAATGATTTTCTTTTCATGTAATATGTTCGTTAAACTTTTTTGTTGTAAAGAATTTTTATTTATTAATAAAAAAAAGGAAATAAATAAATCAAATAAATCAAATGTATGTTGTATATAGAAAATATTCTATAAAAAAAAGTTGTTACACGAAATTTACTTAGTCTCAATTTCTTAAATGTATAACAAAATTTGAAATTTTCAAAATGCTAAGGCTCTGCCAATTTCAGCTTAAGAAAAAACCAGCTGATAAGTTTTGAAGCTTGAGTCATGAACAATAAAACTTATCGGTTAAATTTTTTAAAATGATATAATTTTTTTTTGTTTTAGTATTTTGAAGTTGATCAATTGCAATTAATGATTATAGATGATCTGCACCATAGCTCATTATCATCTACTTCTCCTAATATAGCTGCTGTTGCTACCACTACCACCATCTGCACACCGTCAACCTCATGAAAAAATCAATAAGAGAGCGTGCATTAATTAAAAGTAAAATGTGATGGTGCAATGTGATGGCGATACATTAGCAAGAAAAGATTGTAGCAATTGTTTCGAATATTCGCTTCTTTAAATTTATTACTCATATGGGAAGATTTGACGCATTTCAATAAGCAAATAAAGTGATTACATGTGATAACCATGATAACTCACCCGTTTATTTTTTTTTTTGCTGCTAGAGTTAAACTGGTTTCAAATCGGTTTTAAATTGGGCTTTAAAATCGCTTGAAATAAACATTAATTTCTAAAGGGACTAGGTAAAAAAAATATTTTTTTGAGTTAAGATGTTTTTGTATAATTATTTATAAACATACAGCGTATATTAATTCACTCCCTATAACGAAACTTCTTGTCGTAAAAGTATTTTTTGTGCTTAGATACAAATATTATATAACCACAAGATTAAGATTAAATATCATTAATTATTGTGATTTATATAGAAAATTTTAAATAATCTTGATGAAATTTGTTTGAAATTACGATTTATAGATAGCTTAAAAGGACCAAAGAGTTTTCATTTTCTTAAATAAAGTTAATGCTTACATATAATGATTAATACATATAATGGCTAACACATATACATATAATGGCTAATTATGCATGATAATTACATCTTCATATTCATCGTATTGCTTATAAAATGCTTATTACTTATTGACTGATTTCTAGTAGTTCACGTATTATTTGGCGTTTGCTAAAAATGGTAATAAAAAAGTTGTTGGGTTTATAAATGTGACACATAATAAATGCGCAACCAATCAATTATAAATAAAATTACCCTTCGAGATTTATTTTCATTTATCTCTTCTCAAAGCTCATTGCCGCATGTATAATCAAATTGAACTGGATTATTATTGTTGTTACTGTCTTCAAATAAACTCAGGGCTCCATTAAAATAAAAACTAACATTTAGATCGCCACTACCAACGGCAGCATTGTTAGCATCTACCCTTGTTGAATTATTCGGTGTAGTTGTTGGATTATTTGCTGCAGTTGTTGGATTATTTGCTGCAGTTATTGGATTATTTGCTGCAATTACAATAACAACTGTAGCTATACTTGTATTAATTAGAGAAGATGGCATTGTTCAATAAATTTATTTAGATAAAATTACAATTTTACAAAAAAAATTTTTAGGAATATAGCGCACACATATATATATATAAGAGAATTATTTAAGTTACAAAATTTGGAATTACCGTAAAAAGAAGATAGAAGATACCATATATAAATGGAGTAACCAAATTATCAAAATGGAACCGTTTTATTATTATTTTCAAGATAAATCATTTTATTTTCTTTATTCGTCGTATAGCTTTTAATTTCCAAAAACAACAAAATTTTACCGATAAGAAATTTTAATCACACGGTAATTTATTAATCACATTATCGTAATTTTAATAATCACAAACATAGAGAGATAATGCATATTGAATACGCGTCTTTTTATTGAACATATATCATAAATTTTAGAAAAACAAAGCAAACAAACAAACAAACAAACAAACAACAAACAAACGAGAGTCCCCGGATTTATGCAATAAACATGAAATCATGCATTGTGCAAATTATGTATTTTAAAATCAATACTATTTGTTATATTTCTAATAAATTTTCTGAAAGATTATGTCATGTATCACCTAAAGTTTTTTTGTAATATGAAACCTTCGTTCTACATCCACCCCAGACACTGGAAGCTATATATACTCTAAAGCAATCCTATAAAGTAATGACAGGGTTTCTTGTTTATCATCCAATATTTATCAAATCTCCAAAAATTCCTTGTCTCCACAATAAATAAATACTCCATTCATTGATTAATTCATCTCCTGGATTTATAAATTCCTATTATTATTATTTTTTTTTTTTTGAGATGAAGAAGCTCTAATAAATTTTGAATTAAAGCATTGAATTTCTTTAAAAGGCAATGCCGAATGAATGTCTATTAACATGCTTACATAATTTGTTATAGGAAAGTTGAAGGGCTTGAGAAAATGTCGGTATTAAAGATTCTTCTGATATATTTTTAATTCAATCGTACTTTGATTTGAAGGAGGATTTTCAATGCTAGAATTTGTATTAATTTATTTATTTTACTTTCTAAACGGTTACCAATTGTTGACTTTCATTTGTGATCTACTACATGTTTTCTGATATAAATTATGTAGTACAATATGCCATTAAAAATCGTATCTGTAAAACAAACAAATGTGTGTGAATTGTTGTTATCTTATCTATTTACCTTGTCATTATTATTTACATACATATTAAAAATGATTTTATCCTTATTAAAGTGATTTTATTTGTGGAGGTTTTGGTTTTTTTTTATTGTTATTGTATAACAAAATTTAACCATAAAAATTTATGCATGTGATTTTAATGTGATAAAGATAGGAAGAATAAAAAAATTATAAATTCAAAATTTTTATTTATCATGATGATAGTTATTATTACCAATTAAATCATATTAAAGAAACTGTTGATATGGAGTTGACGCATGCAAAACGTATAAACAAAGCGATAATGAATAAAATTATTATCTTATCTATTTAATTCGTCATTATTATTTGCATAAGTTGGTATCGGAAAATTTAAAATAAGCGAACGAATGCCTATTTTTAATGTGAACAATTTCTAATTGCCAAAATATACATATTAAATCAAAAATTATTATCCCATTAAGGTGAATTTATTTATGGGATTGTTTTTTTGGAATTTTTATTTTTGACAGAAAAATTAACTATTACTCTTGTATAACAATTATAAATTTATAAATATTTACATAACTTTATATATATGTATAAATTATGAGTGATTAATAGAATAAATTCAAATTTTATTGATAACTAGTAAATTTCTTTATCTATAGTGACGATAGTTATCATTACCAATTACAGTCAACCCTCCATAAGTGCACCCTGTGCCTCAGTCCCAAGCTCGGGACTCCGTGACTTTAACGTGAAAATGATTGCAATATAAAAATTTAGTAATTCCATGTTACATGTAAAAAATTGTAAAATAATAATTCAAGTAACAAGTAAATAAAGAATTCTTTTATTACAACAAATGATTAATTCTTTCTTTTTAATAGATATAGAGAATTATTAGAATAACAGAATAAGAATCCAGGAGATAAAGCTCTTATATTTTTTATAGTTGGTATTATTATATATAAAGATAAAGGAGGGATCATAACAGATAAAATTAAGAATTTTAATAACTAGCATTTAATTTTTGTATATATTGTAATATTTTTATTAATTTTTCATTAGTGTCACGTGCAACCAATAAAATACTTTTGTTCTATAAGTGCACGGTCTCGCCTGGTCCCAAGGAGGGTGCAATTATGGAGGGTTGACTGTAAATCCTATTGGCTTATCTCAAATAAACTTTTTATATGGAATTGACGCACGCAAAACAATCAAACGATAATGAGTGAAACTATTACTATCATTATTTACATACAAGCTAGTTAAGTGGAATATCAGAAAATTTGAAATAAGTGGACGAATTTTTATTTGCCAAATATACATACTTAAAAGTGTTTTTATCCTTATCAAAGTGATTTTATTTGCGGGGTTTGTTTTTTTTTTTTTGAATTTTGAATTTTTATTTTTTGACAAATCAAAAAAACTGAAATTTACAGATATTTACATAAAAAACTCATGTATAAATTATGAGTGATAGAAACAGGAAGAATAAAATTATAAATTCAAAATTTTCTTGTAATTAATAAATTTCTTTATCTATAATATTATTACCAATTAAATCCTATCAACTTATCTCAAGGAAAACTATTTATATGGAATTGACATATGAAAACATACAAACAAATGGTAATGAATGAATATGCGTGAAACTATCATCCTATCTATCCATCTTGTCATTATTATTTGTATACAAATTGGTTAAATGGAATATCAAAAAATTTGAAGCAAGCAAACTTTGTTAATTGCCAAATATACATGTTAAATCAAAAATGATTACCTGCTAAAGGTAATTTTATTTGCGGGGTTGTTTTTCAAAAAAGGTCATCATTATGATTTGAATAACAATTATAAATTAATAATATTTATAGATAATGATGATAATTACTATCTACCAATCAAATCTTATTAACTTATCTAAAGAAACTTTTTATAGGAATTTGATGCATGTAAAACAAACAAACAAACGATAATGAATGTGTGTGAAACTATTATCTTATCTAATTTACGGAAAATTTAAACAAGCAAGCGGATATTTAAATCAAAAATGGTTTTATCCTTATTAAAGTGATTTTTTATTGCGGGGTTTGTTTTTTATTTTTTGACTTTGTAAATCATTAATATTCATTTATGTTGTATGTGAAATTGAAATTTATAATTAAAATTGTGTTTAGATATGAAATTCTGATTGGCTAATTTGAATTTCACATAAATTCACATGGATTTCATTTTCACGCACAACATTTACATAAAAAATTTATAAAATTTATTATTATATATATTAGAGATAAGAAGAATAAAATCACGAATTCAATAATTAATAAATTCCTTTATCTGTAATGATGATAATTTTCACCAATTAAATCCTATTAACTTATCTCAAAGAAACTGTTTATATTAATATTAATATGGACTGCATGCAAGTTAGAGATTTTCATTTGTTCCATGCATATTTTAATAAAAATGGAAGGGGACGAAAGAAATGAAACACGCAACTTTATCCAATCATTATTTATTCATGTTCGTTATTACGTATTCTATTTCATTCTATAACATTCTATGTATGTTTTATTTGGACAAAAAGTTATTATTGTTGCATCAATATCTATCGAGTGACTTTGTAACAATCTCCTACACGTTGAAATAAATTGACATGGATTTAGATAGACCGTATTGATGTACACTATATCCAGGAAGGCAGAATTATAATTAAAAATTGGCTGTTTATTTATATATTATTAATTGTGTAATCTGGCCTACAATTCTCCATTTTTTTACTAAGCAAACAGGGTTTAATATTTTTGTCAATTATAAATTATATGGGAAGTGATGGGGCGGTTCGGTTCTGGTTCCATGGAACCGGTTACAATAGAACCGAACCGAACCGAACCGGTTCCAAAATAGATGTAACACAAAATATTATTGTCAAAACTAATTTTCTTTGAAAATTTTCACTACATATAAAATTTTCTTTAAGGGTATTACTTCCTAATATGAAAACAGTCTATGTACTATCTAGTCATTGTCCATATTTAATGTTGACGATTATTTTTGTTTTGCCAATCACTAAATTGACCAATAGGAATGAAGGAAGGTAAATGAAAATGACAAAAACGGATATTAAAATATTCCGATATGGCGAAGTGGTTTTGACCTCAAATAAATTTAATTAATATTAACAGATGGTCTTTTGGCGAATTGCAAATGGTTTTTTTTTGAATTGTATAAAAAAAAATGGACCTTTGGCAAATTGCAAAAAGGCTTTTGACATAAATCATTTTAAATTTTAAAAAATGGACTTTTGGCGTGAATTGTAAAAAGAATTGTAAAAAATAGACTTATGGCATGAATTGTAAAAAATGGTCTTTTGGCGAATTGTAAAAAAAAGACTTTTGACATTATCTTTAACAGATCATTTAAATTGTAAAAAATATAAACTTTTGGCATGAATTGTAAAAAAAGATTTTTGACATTATCCTAATAAATCATTTAAATTGTAAAAAATAGACTTTTTTGAATTGTAAAAAATGGTCTTTTGGCGAATTGTAAAAAAAGATTTTTGAAATTATCTTAATGGTGTGGGATTATCTTACAATACAAGCAACCAGTGTTCCATCAGAACGTGCTTTCTCAGTTGCTGGAAATACAATCAGTAAGGTGCGGAATTGCTTATTGCCAGAAACTGCAAGAGCATGTTTGTGTATGAAGAGTTGGATAATCAATAAATTAGGGGTTTAGAGTGCTAGAATAATATTCTTGAAATTATATATTTTTTTCCTTATACTTTCTTTATGTTTATTTTGTTTTTTTGTAATAAAAAATCATTAATGTTTGTTTTATTTTATGCACTTTTTTTTTGTATACTAATATCTATCATATTCATTCATTGTTTGTCCATTTATTCGTTATTTACATAATAATAATAATATTTAATTTAATTTATTTGAATATTAATAAGTCACGTTATTCGTATTAATCATTCCTTTTAAGGAAAGATTAACTCAGGATTTCCTCATATAGGTATAAATCACATGGGAACGGTTAGAACTCGGTTCTGGAACCGGTTCGCGCTTCTGTGTTCAGTTCGGTTCAGAACCGCTCAGAACCGGTTCCCTAGTGGAACCGCCCCATCCCTATATATTGGGGTTTGTATGATGGACTATGCAGATCAAAACTAATTAACATAATATATAAAATTTACTAATAAACTTTTTTTCGGCAATTATAAAAATAAAAATTGCATCTTCTCATTCAAAAAAAAAGATACAACTATGAAATTAAGTGATATCATAAAAAATGTAATGGTCCACATGGTGACAGAGAATTTTTTTTAATTTTATTAGTAAAATCATCCAAAATGTTAAAAAATACTGTTAAACTTTGAAACGTATAGTCCCAATAACCAAACAAGTTAGAGTAAAAAAATTTCCATGGTTTTTTTCTCTATGATTCAAAAAATAGCCTGACAGAGAGTTTTTTTAAAAATTATTAGTAAAAAAAAGTTTATAAAAAATTTTTCGGTAATCATTTCCTTTTAAAGAAAACATAAAGAATCGTAAGAAAAAGTCTCCGTGTTTAATAAAATACCGAAGCCCAATAAAAGAAAAAGTCTAATTCATAATGCACATGCAGTCAAAAAAATGAAAACTAATTCCTCAGAACCTTTACTCCTTGTAGAATCTCCCGTAAGATTAATAGAAAATAATGTTATTTATTTTAAAAGTTTTATAATAAAACGCATAACTTTGAATTCTTATAAATCCTTAATCTACTAATAATTTTTAAAAAAACTCTCTGTCAGGTTATTCTTTGGATTACAGAGAAAAAACTATGGAAACTTTTTTACTCTAATTTGTTTGGTTATTGAGACTATACGTTTCAAATTTTAACAGTATTTTTTAACATTTTGGATGATTTTACTAATAAAATTAAAAAAACTCTCTGTCACCGTATGGACTATTACATTTGTTATAATATCACTTAATTTTATAGTTGTATCTTTTTTTTTGAATGAGAAGATGCAATTTTTATTTTTATAATTGTTGGAAAAAGTTTATTGGTAAATTTATATATATATATGATGTTTTGATCTACATTAGACACCTAAATGCCTTTATTCACTATAGTAATAGAGAGAGACGTTCATCATAGAGCGAAACAAAAGAAAAGTTTGTTATAATGGGGTTTACTTAGTGTTTGTCATAGAAAAGTCTGTTAGGTGGAGCGAATGTGGTCTTTTCTCGTAATAATGGATTTTTTTATGTGATTACGGTGGTATAAGGAATAATAATAATAATATATTTTTATAATCTTTTTGTTTGATTTTGTCATGTAATAAATTACTCAGTTGTGAGCCAAATCCCTTATATGAAGCGAAAAGAAAGAGATTTCGCCAATTTAATTGGTAAAAGAATAAAAATGTTTTGAAAGATTTATATACAAAAAATACACACTACAGATCACAAGATTATATAATATTAATTATTATGATTTATACAGGAGATTTTAAATAATCTCGAACCATGAATTTGTTTGAAATTCCGATTTATAGATAATTTAATAAGTTGGATCAAGGAGTTTTCATTTGTTTAATAAAGTATAATTTTTAATTTTTACATAATAGTTAATACATAGTTAATGTAATAGTTAATGCATATACTTTTAATCGGTTGCGTTTACTTCGTCGAAAATTATTTCGTTGACAATCATTTCGTCGACACCCATTTCGTCGAAAGTTCGTTTGATCGAAAGTTCGTTTCGTCGAATGTTCATTTTGTCGAAAGTTTGTTTCATCGAATGTTCATTTCGTCGAAAATTATTTCATCCTCGAGCCAGAGACCGAACGAGTTAGGTGTGAGGAGTGTGGAAAGTTAGTTAAGAAATTAGGTGAGGAAAGCAGAGTGTGTGGGAAGTGCGAGGAGAAATTTGTTTAATGAAGTTTTTTTTTTGTGATGAAATAATTTTCGACAAAATGAACATTCGACGAAATGAACATTCGACGAAGTGAACTTTCGATGAAACAAACTTTCGACGAAATGGGTGTCGACGAAATGACTGTCGACGAAATGATTGTCGACAAAATGAATCAGACCCATTTTTAAATTTTATTTATTCTTGTAGGAATATATATAACACATATTTATATGTGAGAATTCTTAGAAACCAAGTTTGAAAATTTCTTATTATATATAAATGGAGTTAAAATGGAAGGATGCCAATGTTTTCCTAAAATTTTTTTTTATTCCTTTTCATTCACCGATTTCCAAAAGCTCAAAGTGAACAAATATGATTGTTATTATTTATTGTTTTATTTGTAATAATTAATATATATCTATATGATAGTTATCCTATAATTCAAAAATCCGAAACAATAATATCAACCCAACAACAATAATAATGCCAATATATAGTAGAATTGTCAAATTTGGCACAATATTTTAATAATAGCTTCATTATCAGTCGCAGGACATAGGGGTCAAGTGTCACCCATATATAAAAATTAATGATCTTCATGCATAATTTTATATGTAAAATCGAAGAAAAAAATCACTCTGGTATACACAAACCTACCCGATTTAACCAAGATTGTTCCTTGAATTATAAAAAATCAAAATATATGGAAAACCCTTTATTTTGACATATTTTTTGCCAGGGTAAACAAATAAGACTCGAAGAAAATCTTAATGTGAAGTTGGCCCACCAGCTCTATAAGTTCTATAATATAAGAAACTTGAATATGCACAATTCAATATTTCGACTTAATTATTTTTTACATAATAATAATTAATGCAATAGTAAGTTCTAATCTCCAAGCTTTAAATATTTATTTTAGAATTTGTTTATAGAAAAGTATTAATTTTTTTTTATAATATATATATCACTGGGTGAATTAGAAAGTTGTATCAAGCAAATTTATTAACTCGGTGATATTTATTTAATATTTTCAAACAAAAATGAATTCGTATAATGGACTTCTTTCAAGGATGGCTATTAAAAAAATGTCAGTTAAAGATTTGTTGATTTTATATAATTTAAAATTGACATTTAATTTATAATTCTTAATAAAGTTTCTTATTTTGCACTTTGCAACGCCATCTATTTTTTTCCAATTAACCACACCAACACATTAACGAAAATTTCCTATCGGTATCCAACCTTCGAAAATGAAATAATATTAAATTGGTTATGATTAAAAATGGCTCCTCAATTAATTGAGACTTGATTGCGGTTAATTGCGCTTCCCATATACTTTTGGGCAAGTATTTATATATATATATAATCAAAAAATATAATCTATCTGTATATAAAAATTTAATCAATGTCCATATCGTCGTCATTACTATTACCACATTATTGCTGTCTTCTGCCTCGTCATCTTCCTCTTTGCCTTCATCATCACCATTGTCACCATTGTCACCATTGCCACCACTGTTGCTGTGTTGTCGTTCTTGTAGTTGTTGTCGTCTTCCCTGTTGTCATCGCTGTTGGAGTTGTCTTTGTCTGCGTAACCTATTTCTTTCAATTTTTACAGCCGTAACTCCCATCTGAGCAGGATATCATTTATTTCGATATTGTCGTCGTTTTTAGTGTTGCTAGCCGACTAGTTGTAGCCGCAACTAAAGATTTATATCTAGTTGCGCGCGATTGGATTTCAGCCGTAAATTTATTACAGCCTTAATGTTACTGTGATATTAGATAGTCGTGCGTGACCAGTGTATAAAATTCGATGTTGGGACTGTGTTATTTTGATTGAAATTTTTTTCCAAAATTTCTACTAGTTTTTTTTTTAATTAAATTTCTTATTGAAATCTTAATAAAAAATTAAACTAAATTTATATTATTTACTGAGTGAAAGGTAACATGTGCATCTTTTATGAACCATTAAGTTTATTAATTTAAAGATTTCGTAATCTAATATTTACTTATTAATATTAATTATTTATTAATCACATTTACATTTACATTTACACATATTCGCTCCCTCGAAACAAAATTTTAATAATAGTAGAATGATCAATTATCTGTATATGTCAACATACATTTATTATAATTAAGGTTTTTTATTTTTTTTTATTTTAACTTATTATTAATCAAGAGTTAATTCAAAGCTCATTATTACGTAATTGACTTCCTATTAATTAGTAAATTTTAGGCTTAATTAATTTAAAAAAATAATTTTCAGATTAAATTTGCGATTAATTAATGGTTTGATATTATTATTTTTTTAAAAAAAAAAAAAAAAATGTCAAGACGGATATAAATTAAATGATGAATGAATGAATGGAAAAAAAAAGGCAATAAAAGAAAAATTTTAATTAATATATATATTAAAGTAATCAATACGACGACGATCTTAAAATTTATTGGTTACATGTTTATTTACTTTAATTTCCATATTCACTACCCATGTTGATCGAGTCAACAAGAGTGGATAATCCCCAAATATGGTATAAAAAATTAAATTTTCCTAATCTAGTTATTATTATTATCAAAAAGCGAAACCCTAAAATAATAATAAATAAAAAAGCCTAGTCGGGTCGTTGGAAAAAAGATTTTTTTTTTTTTCAGAGATTAAAACTAAACTAGGAATTAAAAAGATTCAATCTATTTATTTATTATTTATAAAAAAAATAAATATTTATAAATTTTAATTTTTCCTACAATGTTCATCAAAATAATTTCTCTTTTACCTCCATCTTCCTTGACGACTTTTTTTTCTTCCATTATTATGTACACAATCATTATTAATGCTTCATAGCATCATTTAACATTTTTGTGAATTAGAAATTAAAATAAATAATTGATAAATAATGACAAGAACTTTTTCTTTAATGCACTTTTTTGATTTTCCTTTATTATGTATGATAATAATAGATAATCTAA